ATTTTTTGGACAAAATTTGTAGAGAATTTTATATTCTACAACATTGATAATAAATACAAATAGCAAAAAACCCATAGGAAATGAGATATTTACAAAAAAGCGCAAAAAACCGATTTTTGTGACCTTTGACCTTGAAATTTAATAGTTGCGTACACCCTACAATATGTAGGTTTTGAGACAACTTTCAGTGTGTCAATATACAAGTATTTATAGACTTACAGTTGGGTATCCCGAATTCCGAGGTGAACTTACTATAATGACTGGACTATGTTTGGAATAGAGAAGAAACTCTTCTGCTAATTGAAAATTTTGAACTGTACCCAGAATAATGGAATATACATTGCAAAGATTTTAAAAATAGAGTAAAAAAACAAGGCTCTTTCAAAAATTAGCAGAACTATTCAACACATCTGAACATGAAGTTCAGCGCAAGCTACATAACTTGAGAACACAACTAAATCAGGAGTGGAGAAAAATTCAAAAGAAAAAGGGTGGACAGGGGATAAATGAATTGTATAATGATGGAATGGCTTCTCGCATTCTGGTATCTTTTTTTATGTATTTTTTCTTTCACCAAATTCAGCAAAAAATGAAAATCTTCCGCAGACATACGTAAAAAAAATTTAACTGCTGAGGATCTTCCATTCTCAATTCAGAAAGCAGCTTCTCATGTATGCCTGACGTAGATCTTCGCTGAATCCATTTTCTGACCCAAATTTTTCTACGCTTTTTGTCATTTTCCTTTTCCTTTATTTGTTTTTTTAACTGAATATATGTTACAACAGCAGCAGCCACTTGCTGAGACGACATTTTTCTGGAAGTGTGTGAACACGTTACTCAAGCAAACGAACTTGCTAGAGTAATTTGGCGCAATAAATTTCAAAACCATTAGACTACAGTGTAGATACGCCGGCAAGTACTTGGTGAAAAAACTTTCGCAAGTTACTTGCAAGTGGACACGAGGCATAAAGATTTTTTAAATTTTAACAATATTAGCCTTACTAACCCTTACACAATGCACTACCTAAATCTATAGGATCATATCTGGCTAGGAAAGGTATAGAATCGACCATAACTGGCTGGATCTATGCCTTGCTACTAAACAGAACTGCAACTACGACTCTTCAAGGCGAGGCTATCAGGTTCAGGGTCACCAAGGGCTGCCCTCAAGGTGGGGTACTATCTCCCCTTCTGTGGTCGCTCCTGGTGGATAGTCTGTTTGATGCCCTCGACAGAAGAAAAGTAGATCTACAAGCTTCGTCCACATCGGAATGGGTAGCTTGTAATATCCTCCAAAGTATATTGGACGTTGTCCACAGTTGGTGCCTGAGGGAGCAGGTTTTTGTCAACCCCAGCAAAACTGTCAACACCAGAAGGAGAAAATTGGACGATCTAACGCCACTTTCCCTCAATGGTGAGGTCATTCCATTTGGAACAGAGGTGAAATATCTTCGCATTGTCCATGATAAAAAATTCACCTGGTACGCTCACTTGGAAAAAGTTTTACACTTAGCCAGACTGTCCCTATGGACATGTCGGAGGATTTGTGGTGAAACTTGTGGTTTAGGTCCCAAACAAATACACTGGATTTATGTCATGATTGTCAGACCAATTATGGTGCAATTACCTGGAGGCCGAAGGCTTTATAGAAAACAGCCCAGGCGAAGGTCTATGGCTTACAGAGACAGGCTTGTCTAGCCATCAGCGGTGCCATCAATATCACACCATCAGCGGCCATGGATATCCTTCTAGATCTATCTCCTCTTCACATTTTTCTCTAGAGAAAAGCTAGATGGACTGCATATAGACTTATGCACATTGTCAATTGCACAAATCAATTTAATGCAGAGTGCAACAGACTGTTGGTTGACACTGGAAGTCACACCATTCTAGAAATGACCTCTGACTTTATGCCTCCAACTGTCAACTACGAACTGCCTTATAAAGTACTGTTCCCGAGTAGAGAGGACAGGATCCTCCGGGAGAAGGAAATATTAAGAGCAGATAGTTGTTGGTTCACGGATGGATCAAAAACACCTTGTTCTGGTGCAGGTGTTTTCAGTCGCAGACCCAGGACAGAGATATCAACCTGCCTAGGGACCTATACGAATGTATTTCAAACAGAAATTTAGAAGGAAATTTAGATTGGAAGAATCCAACCTCATACACAAAACAATAAAAATATTCTCGGACAGTCAAGCGGCTTTGGAAGCTCTTGGCTCCTACCGAGCAACATCTAAATTGGTAGCAAATCGCCAAAAACGAGTCTCCTGGCCATACTGGACTGGAAGGCAATGAGGCTGCTGACTCCCTTGCAAAAGAGAGTGCTACAAGCACCTTCATTGGACTAGAACCTGTCATTGGCATCGCTTTAGGCTTTGCCAAACAAAGATTGAAAACCTGGATGGCAAGAAGATTTATGGACTGCTGGCAGAATCTTCCAGGACTGGCTCACTCCAAGGCGTTTATTCACCCTTTGAAGCTTGATACCAAACAGTTGTTGGACTATAGTAGGGATAAACTACGATGTGTAACAGGCCTTCTTACAGGTCACTGTCATTTGAATCATCATATGCAGTGTGTGTCGCTTCTGTATCATACTTTTAGAGTTCGGCAGAGCCAAACTCTTACCATCTGACCTGAAAGACCACTCACCATATAAACTAATGGGCTTCGTTAAGAAGCTGCGTTTATGTGGTCGAGTGTGAATATGTGGTAGCCACAATAAACTCTTGTGTGGTGGAGGGCCACTCACTTTGGACCTAACTTCACAATCAAATCAGGAAAACGGTAGCAAATTCAAATCCACCATCCAACAAGTTGTCCAAAGCTGAAGTCTTCAATAGTCAGGAGCATTGGCTCAAAAGGAAATTCAAACGCTGGCTACATATTGAACAACGATTGCATTCAACTAGGCCATTGTGGAGATAGTAGAGTGCCGAAGTTTTTAATCAAGCAAAAAAAAAGAAAACAAGGAGTGCACTATCCAAAAGCAGTTAAGGAAATGCGCTTCCAAACAACAATTGTAGATATGTTATGCTCATTGCATTTTATAATTCTGAAGTTTTCATTTCCAAACTAATATAGCTCTATATTTCAGTAATATTTTCAATGATTCATTCATTAATTTTCCCTTAGATTCCAAATCTGTTAATACCTTTTTTTTGTCAGTGGAAGTTCAAACACTCAACATTCATTTTGTTTGTTTTTTATTTTCACTAATCGCTTGATTTTGTCCATTTTGCAATTTTTTTTTATTTACAAAATATCCGCATCAACCATCAAGGTTATTAGCGGTTTGACATAGTACTTTACAAAAGTTGTTTACAATTTATGTAATATCTTTATGTCGGTTAAGAATGAGATGAGTGGTTGTGTATAACAGCTTTCCCCTAAGATGTCCTGGAGATTTTCCGCTAAGTTATGCTCCAGCCTTTCCTCACAGCACATTGGACACTCTACTAATATGTGTTTTACCGAGAGGTCTGTCTCGCATATATCGCAGGATGGTTTTTGTTTTCCAGTTATTAAATATTCATGAGTGAACCTTGTATGGCCGAGGCTAAGTCTGGTGATAGCTATTTGATGGCTTCTGACTTTAGTTAAAGTTTTGTAAGGTGTTGAAATGATTTGATTTATTTCAGCTAGTTTTGAGGGTTGTTGGGACCATACTTGTTGCCACGTATCAAGCACTTTGTTTTTTATGAACACTTTGAGGTCGCTGGGTGTTGTTCTTGTTTCTGTCATGGCATCTGCTTGTTGCGCAGCTTCTTTCGCACTTTGATCGGCTTTTTCGTTCCCACTAATGCCGATATGGGATGGAACCCATACTATAGCTACCTGCTTTTGTCTTTGTTGTATTCGAAAGAGCTCACATTTGATAAGTTTACCAATGGGGTGATGGGTATATATTTTCCGTATGGACTGGATGGAGCTCAGAGAATCGGTTATTATAACGTATTTCGGCTAATCTGTTTGTTGCATATAAGTGAGAGCTTGAAGAATAGAATATAGTTCTCCAGTAAACACGCTCCATGTACTGGGAAGTTTATATTTCATGGTGGTTACTGGAGTGATGACTGCTGCTCCTACTTCTTCATTCATTTTCGAAGAGTCGGTATACAGGGTGTTCCTCAAACACATGCTAATATTTAAGGAGGTAATTCTTAGACCCATTTTAAGAAAAAAACTTCCTATGGACGTATGTCCTAAACGCCTTAACTTTTGAGATACAGGATGACAAAGTTTTCAAAAATGATCAGTTTTTTAATAATAACTGAGATAATTTTGTAGACATCTTTGGCATATTTGGTACATATGTTCCATGCCTCAAGGATTATTAAAAAACTGATTATTTTTGAAAACTTTGCCACCCTGTATCTCAAAAGTTAAGGCGTTTAGGACATACGTCCATAGGACGTTTTTTCCTTAAAATGGGCCTAAGAATTACCTCCTTAAATATTAGCATGTGTTTAAGGAACACCCTGTATATTTGCAAATAGTCTGGATGTTCGTCCATGATTTCGGAAAAGTGTTTTTAATCACAATGTTATTTATTCTTGCTTTGTCATATGTTGTGAGGTCAGTATTTATTGAAATGGATTGGCTCATCCACGGCGGCGGAGTTATGATGTTTGTGTAGATAGGCGGTAAGTGGGAAAGTTCAATTACTTGCAGGTACTGTTTGATTCTTTCTGGGACCATTTTGCAATTGAATACTCAATAATCAGGCAGTGTCTCTCTTGAGGCGTTTAAAAATTCGTTATTCAAAGTTATAAATCTGGAAATTGAATTTTTGTGTACGGTAGAATAATATTCGTCGGTCTCATTTGACTTTCTCATTGAAACTTAATCGACCAGTTGTTCATTTCTCTGATTGAAACACATTTTCTATGAAATTTTAGGCCCTTTGAGAATATTCGTATTGAACCGAAGATTTTTTCAATCCACAATCCACATTTACGCTTTTTCCGATTTACATTTCCGTTTTGTTGTTTCAGACATCCGACGTATCCGTATTCGAAGTCAACATCAGGTTCGTGGGAGGGCTGCTTGCGTGTTTTGCTTTGACAGGAGACACGATGTTTCGTGACAAAGCTCAACAAATCGCCGACAAATTGTTGCCAGCTTTCGACACCCCTACTGGCATCCCTAATGCGCTCATCAACTTCAAAACAGGGGTAAGTTAGAGGGTAGGAATTATTGTGAAGCCAAGTGTTAATGAAAGGGTTGAACTTTTATTTGCTGAAACGGAAACAAGCCCGAGTCGATTTTTTTGTTTCATGCTATACTGTATGGGCAAGAATGAAACGGATTGATTGTTTACAGTTCTGAGGGTTAATACAAAGTTATTTCGATTTTACAAATTGCAACGAGATTTTTTGTTTCTATTAAACGTTGCTAATATTTCCTTCTATCTCTCAAGAAAATCGAAATATAAAATGAAATACTCCCGAGGTTATTCTTTCATTTACGGCATTGAGCACGAAATATTTCTTTTGTATCACAAAAACATTTGAAGCTCACGATAACCATCGTACAGTGCATTTCTTCAATAATAATAATATAAGGTTTATTCACAGTAAACCACATATACAGTGTGTCCAAGATAAGGATCCTGAGCATGGGAATCTCAGTACCTGTTGGAGATACAGCTTAGGTTAAATTAGGAAAAAGTTGTGTTCTTTAAAGCTCATTTACATGCCGTTTAGAAACTTGAAGAATTTTCATGGCCTGCTGAGATATTTGGGAAAAACGAGAATTTGACAATATCAATTTTATTTTTTTCTGACTTTATTTGAAAAGATATCAAAAAACGAATAACACTTTTTCATTGGCACTTTC